CTTTGCCATAGATCCTACGCGAAGCTTAACTTTGGATGGGTCTAATTCCTCTATATATCAGGACTCCATTTCTTCCCTCTCAGTCTTAACCCATAACTGGCGAAGGGTTAAAACAGGTGCACGTTTGAACGGGAACAATTAGTCTATGATTTATTAATTAAATCTCTCGGTTAATTAATTTTTGTGTATATTGCGCAAACAAGTGAAATAGTAGAAATGTCGGCATACAAATTATAGATATTTAAAAAGCAACATTTACTATAAGTCAGCACACTCATTATAATGTGCTGACCTAGATCAATTGTTAATTATTAGATTTATATTAGTTAGCATTTTATTTTTCATTATTAACATTTAGTCAACAGATACATGGTACGGGAGAAAAAAGTAACTCTCGCGCAATTAACTAAAGTTCATTTCGTACCCTTTGATTGAAGTCATCCAGTCCTTCATAATCGGCTAATGGTGATAGATCGAAACTCTCCCCCATTCATTACAACATCATTGGCTATTAAAGCCCGACAAAATGTACATTATCCATGCAGTTAGCGTCATATTATCTTAACGTTGGATGAATGATGAACGATGGGCAGTTTGCCGACGATGATGACTTGGAAATATACGTTGATGGTATCTTTATAATTAAAGTCAATATTAATAATGTATGAAGAAAAAATGTATGGGAAACCGAACTGTAAATCATCAGACACATTTTTGTGCAACGTGTGGTGATTTAGACCGTTAAAGAAATACAGTAAATTTTCTAGAAAAATGGAACGAAATTTTTAAAAAGAATGCTTGTTAGGGTTTAACGTTTGGGGTTAACATGATTTTTGTTTTTGAAATAAGGTCGAGGTTATAAGAATCTGTAAACATTTAGTACACATTTGTAGATATGAATCTTCACAGACTCGTCGACGTTATTAACTAGTCTGGCTTACATATTAGAGTCAATTGAAAGACAATCTCTCGTTGATAGTCTTTTATTAGTACAATTATTTGACAAAGTATGTCGGGTGCACTTTTATCGAAGCCAACCAATTGTTTTTTACCAATTGTCTCAATGCTGTGTTAATAGTAAGTTCTTAACAATGAAATAAGTTTAATACTAAAGATATAAAAAGCCGACTGTTCTTTTGATTTTTCTATTATCAATTATTGTCTATCCCTTGTCAAGTTCTACTATACTTTTTACAAAATAGTTAAACCATGGATAAATATTAATGCGTGTGGTAGGACATACAATTTATTTAAGTCTAATTTAAGTCTTTTAATGATTTCTTGAGTTTACACGAATACTGCACATTGTTAAATAAAACTAATTTTAAGGATTTTCTCACGTTTAATTTTGATTTAAATTTTTGACATTTAGAACCCTTTACATTATCCATGGTCACGGGATAGACTGTAAAATTTTTGTAAAAAAACCTGAAAATCGTGTTTAATACAAAATGGTAAAACTAGTTTTAATTAATAATTGAATTCTCTTGTTTAGTTTTGTATCTAGTTGACTGATTACTTACTATTTATTACTTATTTATGATTATTTTGACGTACGGATTGTAATCATGATATGGCTATACCATACTTACTTTACGATAATTCATCCGTTATTTTGACCGCGGTTCTAAGTTGACCGCAGACCGTTACGACATACCGGAGAGGTTCTGTGTCAATGTTACCGTTTTCTTTTTATTTCTTCTTCTTTTTAGTTGTGACTTATTCTTAGGCAGTAAATCTTTCTGGAAAATTCATTAATCAAAAAATCTTTTAATCATTTAAAACTCAGATTAAATCTTATTTGTATATGCATAATCATTTCCTGAATTATCATTAGTGAAGGTCAAAAATGAAAAATATATTTTTCTTACTATCTTTTATTGGCTTTTAGTCTTTTATAAGTTGATTAGTTAATTTTATCTGCACTCGAAAGAACCGGCAAGCAACTGGGCGGTTCAAGATACATTCATACATTCTTATCAATAGTTATGAAGATATTTATCTTAAAAAAAGCTTTAAGATAAAAAAAGATTTTAGAAGTGTAATGACTAAGTTCTATCCGCTCAACCCGGTTCACCAAGTATTGTAACAATATAATTGACCTAATAATTGTTTGCCTGCATTTTTCTCCTTCTCAAATACTGTTATTATCGTCGACTTGTATTTGGTACAGCCCAGCCACTTTGTTGTATGCATATGTAATAGCTGTAAATAAAACTGTGACGTCACTACTGCTGTCGTTACAGGGTGTAAATGGGTTCCCTCATCGGCTTTTTCGCCTAATGCGGTTGGCGTATGCGTTACCACGGCCACCTCCCTCATCGCATCATCCCGGGTCGAACCCATCTCGCAAGTCGACAAACATACAAATCGACATATAGTGACGTGAGCATCAAATTATGCGAACAAAACGACTAACCTAGAAAATAAATAAGTTAAAATACATTTATCGCCAATAAGAGTACGATAGCAGTATCCGCTGACACTACACTAGGAAAGTAACTTGTGATATCGATAACGATTGCTATTCGAAACAGTTTTATTTGATTTATTGTCATGACGGTAATCACATTACATCAGATGAACCGTCCGCTTGCTAGGCACCTTCGCAAATAAGACAAAAAAACCCTACTGATTTACTTTTCACAAGAAATGCCATTTTAATGTGCTATATATTTAATTCCATAAATTACTATGGTGTTGTATGACATAATTAATATAGCAAACATAACAACACTTCTATAAACTACTTTTAACTATTGAAATAGTCATGGCTGTTGTAATGCTCTGCTTTTGGTCATTAAGTTTGATAATTTCAACAAAAACGATGCGTTGTTTTGTTTTCGTATATCTTCATATTGGAATAGATTTCACAAAAGGTTCCGCTGGCGATTTATTGGGTGGCACTTTTAACAAAGAAAAGTTTAGTGTGTCACTATTGACGTAATAGCGAAAGGTCATTTAAAGGGCAAAAATATAAAGGTGTTTGTTATTAGCGTATTATATGGTATATCTAGATGATTTTTGAAGTGACAATGGGCACATCCACTTGTCATAATGTCATAAAATAATATCGCTTCAGTAACTGAATCATTAAATACATACTACTAATAAGTACAGAAATACTTAGTACACAAAAATTAACAAAGTATGTATCATAATATACACACCGGCACAATTAGCGGAACAGAAAAAAAAGTGAGACTATGAGATAATAACGCATATATTTGACGAAAATGTAATTAGACACAAAATAACAAATTGATTAACATCTTTTAACAACGACTTTGAAAAGTCTTCGTTATTTTTTATTGAAAAATAAAGAAATTTGAAATAAGTGAAATTTTTAGATGATTATGAACCATCACAAAAAATAAAAAAAGTAAGCATTAAATGATTTAACAATAAAATTAAAGCAAATATAATAACGAGTGTTTCCCCCTCTTGCTCTGATTACGGTTTCCATTCGTCTGGGCATGCTACAGATTATGTTATCGATGATTTCTTGAGGCAACCGCTCCCACTCCTCAAGTAATGCGTTTCCTAGTTCATTCAGATTGTTGGGGAGTGGCATTCTGGATTTAACCCTTCTTTTTAGCAAGTCCCAGACATGCTCTATCGGATTCATATCGGGGGAATTTGCTGGCCACTGCATCACCGGTATAGCTACGTGGCTCAGATATGCCTGTACCGATTGTGCACTATGAGCACGAGCATTCTCTTGCATTAGAATAAAGTCGTCACCAATAAATGGGGCAAATGATACAACATGTTCTTCTAAAATGTCTCTGATGTATCGATCTGCTGTCATGGTCCCTCCTGTGACTATCACTAACTCCGTGCGAGCTCCCAAACATATCCTTCCCCAAACCATAATCGAGCCGCCACCATAAGCCACTGTGTGTTCAAAATTAGACTGTATGTGGCGTTCTCCTTTGCGTCTCCATATTCGCTGTCTCCCATCGATCTGTTTTAAAAGAACTCTGCACTCATCAGTAAAGAGAACCTGCTGCCATTCGTTCAAATCCCAATGACGATGTTCTCGCGCATAGCTTAATCGGTTTACGCGGTGACGTCTCTCAAGTTTTGGGCCTTTGGCAGGTATATACGACCCTAAACCAACTTCTTCAAATCTCCTGCGAACTGTACGCTCACTTACTCGTACTCCTCGAACGTCTTCCAGTTCATTAAGAGCTTGTACAGCCGTTAATCGCGTATTCCTACGAACTCCAAGTTGTAAAAAAACTGTCATCTCGCCTCGATGTACATCTTTTTCTATCTTGACCCCTCCTCCTCACAAGAGAATTAGACGATCTGTACCGCTGGATGCTGCGATGAATCGTTGATACTGGACGACGAAGCCTTGAGGCAATCGATCTGTAGGTATGGCCATTTCTTCTCATTTCATCAGCCCTAATGATTTCCAGTGATGTTAAGTCAGGCATAATAAAGAGCTTTTAATAAACAAAATTGCCTATAGAATAACAAATTTATAAAAAAAACATTAAGTTAAATTTTTCAAAAAAAAATTACAATTACGTAGTTATTACTCGAACAAGTTGACAAAACGTATTGTTCGGGAAAATAAAACAAATGAATGAAAAAAGTGTATGTCATCTAATTTTCTATTTTCAAATTTGACAATAAATTAAAAAAATATCATAACTGGCTAATTCCTCAAGTAAAAGATTTTATAATCCTCCTTTTTTTTGTGTTCCGCTAATTGTGCCGGTGTGTATATATTATCAGTAGGACATTTATTTCACATGACAAGGAAAAAGGAAGGAATGCTCAATGCTAGCGGAAGCTATGACGTTAAAATATGTCACGTTTCTTTAAAAGTAGTAACGCCTTAACAACCTTAAATTCTGCCTACTATTTTGATAAGTTTTCACTCGAGATAAATAACTGATACTCCATTGTTTGATAAATTGTGATAATACGAGTAGTTGAAAACATTCAGTCTTATTTGCCCGTGCGGTGCAGTGTTGTAACAAAAAATGACTGTCGGAGACAACTTCGACGGTCACCATGAACGGCCGACGATTCGAAGAAGAATTAAGAACAGCGTGAAAAGTGCGTGCAGTGCGAAAACGCTGGAAAAACGTCTGCCAATATTACGATGGCTGCCAAAGTACAGTGCGACGCTTCTGATCCAAGACATAATTGCCGGCATCACCGTCGGCCTCACCGCAATACCTCAAGGCATCGCTTACGCTGTGGTCGCCGGCCTGTCGCCCGAGTACGGACTGTATGCCGGCTTGCTTAGCGGATTCGTTTATCTTGTCTTCGGCAGCTGCAAGGACATAACCGTCGGCCCCACCGCGATCATGTCCACCATGACCGCGAAGTACGTGGCGGACTACTCGGCAGATTTCGCTGTGCTGGCAGCCTTCCTCACCGGACTAGTGGCCCTCGGTATGGGCATCTTAAATCTGGGCTTCCTCGTGGAGTTCATCTCGATACCCGTGATTAGTGGCTTCACGACGGCGGCCGCGCTTCAGATCGCGGCAGCCCAACTGAAGTCATTGTTCGGTCTCAGCGGCGCCTCTGGGAGCTTCTTCGCTCAGTCCGTGTACAACTTCGTGAAAAATCTGCGCACGGCAAAGCTCTGGGATCCGGTACTCGGGTTCTCCACGATTCTGATTCTGGTCTGCTTGAAGAAACTGGGCGAGGGGTGCGGCCGCAACGACGGTCCATCGAGGCAGCTGAGGTGGTTCGTTTCGTTAGCAAGGAACGCCGTGGTGGTAATTATTGGGATCGTAGTAGCGTACGTCTTGAAGGTCACGACCGACAGCGAGCCGTTGGTGCTGATCGGCGACATCGGAAGCGGGCTGCCCAAGTTTCGTCCGCCCCCGTTCAGCACCACCGTGGGCAATGAGACCTACAGTTTTAGTGACATGACCCGGGTGCTAGGGCCAGAGTCGATTGTCCTGCCGCTAGTCGCTATACTGGAATCGGTGGCGATCGCCAAAGCCTTCGCCGGTGGTGTACGAGTAGACGCAACCCAGGAAATGATCGCACTCGGACTATGCAACATTATCGGCTCTTTCGTGAGGAGTATGCCTGTGACGGGGTCCTTCACTCGCACGGCGCTCAACCACGCGTCGGGCGTGCAAACTCCGGCCGGTGGCATCTTCACAGGCTCACTTATCATTCTGGCCTTGAGTTTACTCACCTCTACGTTCTATTACATACCGAAAGCGTCATTGGCCGGTCTTATCATAACCGCGATGTTCTCTATGATCGATTACACGATATTCCCTCGGCTTTGGGCGACTCGAAAAAAAGAATTACTCGTCATTGTATCAACGATGATTGTTTGCTTGTGCGTCGGACTGGAATACGGGATTGTGACTGGGATTGTCGTCGACGCTGCGATGCTTCTGTATTCTACAGCGAGGCCCTCAATCAACATAGATATTGTGAAAGGCGAGAAGGGCGATTTGATAATATTACAACTGACCGAGAAAGTAGCATATTGCGCGGCGGAGCATGTACGCAGGGCGGTATTGCAAGCGTCCCAGGCAGCGGTTGTGGATTCGATCGTCATCATTGATGGCACCAGTTTGAGGAACATGGACTCAACTGTTGCGTCTAACCTTATATCGGTTGTGAAAGACCTGGAGAAGAACTCCTGTCAAATATTGTTCTTAAACTTCGATTCACAATTGAAAAAGATGTCCACCGATATAAATGCAAAAATTTCGAGTAAATTTGTAACGGCTTCAAACGTTCTAGATATAGTAGACTTCACTCCGAAGAGTGTTTGATTGATTTTCCTTATTGCGTAGCAGTGTAAGGTCAGGTTGTGACGGTAGACAGATAACTTACCGTTTTTATCTTATAAGATTACGCATTACATTACATAACTGACAAATTTAAGTGACAGGTTAATCTCAATAGATTGTCGGTTAAGATTATAATTCAAAAGTGAAAATTGCGAAATCACAAGTCTTATAGTATTATAGTTTTATATCGGTAAGAACGATGGAGTAGCTAATAAGTATGTACTTAATTTACTATAAAATAAAATAAACAAGTATTTTGTACGAAAATAATATTATGTAATGTTATGTATTATAAAATTATTTATATTCATTTGCGTTTTTCTTTTGTTTTTATGTTTGAAACGGTCATTCGATGGAGGAATTCCTAGTAAAACGTCAAAGGGATTATTGAATGCGCCGATTTCATTCCAAACAGTCGATCGGAACTTCTGAAAGGTCCACAAATTCTCGGGCTTATCTCGAATGCGCCATCCCCTCAATATTCCTGTTGCTCCGTTGATCGCGTCAAAGTGGGGTGTCATTGGGCCCGGCGGAATTTATTAACCTGACTCAGCATTCGTGAAGGTGGCAGATTTATGTTGTTATCGAGTCGGCTAAGTGCGAACCGCGTCCGCTGCCGCTTAGCAGCGCGTGGCGTTTCTTTTACGGGCCGATAAAATCCCGCGGTGCAGCGGCGATAAGGGCTGCGTGAGTGTCGTGTTTCTTACTATAGTCTTTAGTTATGATGGAGTCGATTCGTAGTTCGCATTGATGGGTAAACGGTGTTCAGTTGTAACAAGGAAAAATATGCCCGAGAGATTCTTGAAAACACTTGATAATGTTTCTCGCGGAATTTATTGTTCCAGATGAATCCGTTCCATTTGATTTGAATTCATTCAATCAGTCTGAGACTCATGAAACGAAAATTGATCCAATGCCAGGTATACTTTGCAATACCTCAATCTTATGAAATATTTTTAAAGATATAGAATATAATTAAAGCTGATGTTAATGTGATTTAACCAACCAAGAAATTTAAAAGTTTATTCTTCTTCTCGTTCATAAATGTAAGGTTTTGATGAAGTTGCTATTACAACAAAATAACGTTAAATGGAGAGGTGGGCAAAGATTATAAATTCACATTTTACGCGATCCTTACAATTTTTTTTTCTCCTTTCTAATCCATAACTACGCGTACACGAATTGATTTAATATTTTACATTTTATCTATGTAGATTCAATAAGGAAGCTCGTTATATCGTATGCGTAGTTCACAGCTTTCAATATATTGTTAAATGATAGAGTGAAATGCCCCGTCATATAAAATTTCAGTCCGTAACGGGAAGGGGAAGCGGTTGCCCTCCACCCATTATATATGTTATGATAAAACGTCTGCATTAGTTCCGACCCGCCAGAACCAACCATGTTAATCTCGCCTGCCGTCTGCACGCACTCTTACGAATTTGTACTATGAAATATCGCTAGTTTCGTTGTTTGTTTGAAGCCAATATGCAGCGAGTTCGCAAACATTGCGGGTCGGAGGCCTTGATTATTTCATTTTCGACAATTTGAAGTTAGTTGTAGATGATGGGTTTATGTTGCTTCATCAGTTTGTATGCTGCATAGAATTATACGGCTGACCGGCGATGTTTTCAATCCTAACGGCATATGCCCGGTTCCTATATTTAACGAACGGCCGTTAGTTACATAACTTTCATAACGACTCGTTGTAGCGACTTCATAATGTCAATGTAATCAACGGTAAATGTATTCGTTGAATATAGAAACCGGGCTTTATTAAAGCGTCACGGTAACTAAAGCCGTGGACAGGCCAATGTCAGCAAGGTAGGAAGGTATATTATATAGTTTTGGTGCGGTAGCTGATGTTGTCGAATCGCTATTGTAAATGGGTGATAAAAATCCCTGCGCGTTCCGCAATTACTTTCGAGTTTATCGGATTTCAGAAATATATTAGGCAGTTCGACAGGACCATCACCTTTCACGTTTGAAGACTTAGTAAGCTCGTTTTAAGAGAGTCAGTATACGCAAGAACTACGTACCCCATAAGGTTAAAAGGTTTTACAGCTTGGAAGAACTTACCTGAATGCGTTGGCATTCTATTAGGAAAAATCGACTCCTTTCGAACTAATGTTGCGATGTGACCGTACCAGGAAATCTCTCCCGGAATATATATTCATTTTATTCATTTTTTAACTTTATCTGACACACACGGAGGGATGGCAATGACACGTCAAATCATGTGGAAATAATGGTTGAATGAACGCACCGATGTCGGCCCTAGCCGGCCTAACTTGGAACCCCCCGCCCTCTCCATAGCCTGCATTTTCCAGCCCCGGGAGTTCCCGCCCTATCTTTTCAGGAGTTCCTCGCTCACTGGACGGCGTTGACGAAGTGGGGGCAGAGCCCGGGTCCTTTTTTGTGTTAAATTTCAAGCTCCTGAATGGAGAATAGTTTCCAGATGATTACCTTCGGCGTTATGTACTGATTTGTTGCGAGGGAGTATGTCGCGCGCGAGAAGCGGGGCTGCTCGATCATGAAATATTGCGGAGTACTTATAACACGTGTATGTATTTAGAAATCGAGGGTGAGGTCGCATTATGCCGTGTTTTTGTAACAAATTCTTAGTAAACGGACTTAGGGTCAATGAGTGCACTATACCTCTCTCGATGGGTTACTAGTTTGCCCGTATCAGTTGCAATTAATGCCAAACATTAACTCTGATCCATACTAATATTATAAATGCGAAAGTAACTCTGTCTGGCTGTCTCAAAACTACTGAACCGATTTTAATGAAATTTTGGACACAGATAGTCTAGAGCCTGAGAAAGTACATAGGCTATTTTTAATATTATTAGGCACAGAATTCTTTTTATTTAAAATAATATTAAATTTTTTTAAAGAAAGATATTTATTTAAGGGCTTCAACGCGAGCGAAGCCGCGGGTGAAAAGCTAGTTGCTCAGAAAACGGAAAAAATTCGAAGACACGGACTGAACAATATTGTTTACTGCAGTCTTAGATTTTTTTGTGTTAATATTTATTGCTTTTTACATTTGTCCTACAGTTTGCGTATCATGATTGATGTTTTTTTTTTTTTCAAATTTAAATATGACATTTTACAAAAACAAAATTATAATATCGTTACTGGGAACTGCGTAGGTTCTTACTTGTCCCTTTGCTTAGTAGGCGATAAAGTCACCTTTTGTTATATACATGGACCGCATTAATTAGAGTATGACAATCAATTATTGTTTTTCTATCAGCTATCATTCAATTTTACCTATCCACTTGGGAACTTTTCAAGTATTGTTTGCGTGAATAAGAAAACACTCGATCGATAACAAGCTATCATTTAAATTGCAAACCGCGCTCGTAAAGTAAACAGAATTGAGTAATCGATACGCTAAACCTGTCTGCCAAAGAAGTCGCGTAAATTTAATGTTATCCATTAATTTATGACTTAGTGCACAACCTCTATCTGCAATCATTAATCTCCGTTTCACATTAAACGGCTGTAAAATCGCAGTTATTTCAACAACAAATACCAGATATCTATCATAAATGTTTGCCGTAATTGTTAAATTCAGTCTCGTTCGCCCGTAAACCGCTGAATGTAAAATCGAAAATCGCTTGCCGAACAGTAGTTTTAAGGCGCGATTGTTTGAAAATTACTCTGCGCAGTTTCCAATGCCGTCGTAAACGCCTTAACATCAGCGGCATAAAGTTAATATTCGCACGGTACGCGCGGCGGATAACTTTGCCACCCTAGGGTCACCTGTCCCTTGTCAAGAGTTGTGTAACAGGCGGCCGTAATGAAATACCTCGCAAATGAGTCGTGCATAGGTTGCCAATAGCAACCTTTACGTCATCCGTTCAAAGCCCAGCAGGGCTGCGGGGTCCGCAAATCTAGAAATCTGAAACTTTGCCAATTTGCAAAGCGGCCGACTTGAAGCAAGTTGACAGCTGTGCGCGTACAGTTTACCATTGTTTACCATTGTTTACGTGATCTCTTTTTCTGTTCCCGTCATAGGTGTGGGTTCTTTTGGCATATCACTACATAGTATAAAACAAAGTCGCACCGCTGTCTGTCTGTCGCTATGTATGCTTAGCTCTTTAAACGGATCTTGATGTGTTTTTTTTTACTAGATAGAGTGATTCAAGAGAAAGGTTTATGTGTATAATACATTACACCCGTGTGAAGTAGGGTTGGGTCGCTAGTATTTAATACGATAAATGAGGAAAATAGTCAGTAGACCGGTTTAACATGAAACAACTCGGTCTATTCCTACGAGCGCTATACATTTGAAAGCGATAAGATCAAATTAATTTATTTTAACAAAGTGTCACAGATTATAAATAGGTGAAATTTATTTAAAATTAATATATTTGTTTGTTAATTATTTATCCCTAAAAATAATTTGTGATGCCTACAGCATTCTTCTTAAACACACCACGCAGTTGTGTCTCATTGCCTCGAATTCTACAACAATGATTATTTGTGTTAAGTGTCACTTACATGATGATATCATATCTTGAGATGTGATATTATAGAAATTACGATATGATTATATCGTCATATTTCTCCTTGGGCTTTAACGACAGAATACTTGGAGAATATTTTTCCAATTATAAAATTTCTGCCCGCCGGTCGTACGAGCGTAGTTGTAATTGCTGCCAAGTCTAGACCAGGGCTGGGATAAGAATGTTAAACAAGGGTTCCGTACATCGCTATTCGAATATCTCCATTATACGAGTCAGACGGGCATCGCCCTGGCTCGCAGTACATTCTATACAACGCGGTCTACGGCGGGATTTTTAACGTAAAATGATATTGCGAAACCCTTAGCACTGCTGCGCCGCGCTCGGCCGAAATTGGGGTTGCTTTTAGGATTATAAACGCCGTCAAATCCCATATAATAAGTACCTCAATGTAAACTTACGAACCGAGTACGACGGTTTGAATACTTGTTGCTTGAGTAT